TCTAACAACAATTGAATTCCTGTCTCGAACATCATTAATTGACATACTGAATTGCTATACCATATTTATTGCCTTTGATCCATTTATGCAACCTGGGTATTCTGTTATGAAGGTCTTCGTCGATAGCTTCATTTTTCGATTTTTATGGAACTCCAATTTCTCAGGTATTGTTTCAAGATCTCTTATGCTTTTATGTTTATGCATAATCGTCTATTTGTCCTTGGGAAGCTGATCGATTTTCTATGTTCTGGAATTTGAAGCAGAAATTAGAAGGCTGGTTGGGAAATATCTGGGCAATAAGAAAGTTGTACAGGTTGTTCTTCATGGGGAAAGGGAACTAAATTCCATCACTAATCCATCCTAAATTTAATGATGAAAATTTTCCGCTAGATTCCACCACTAATTTTAGTGACGAAATGTAACACCCCGAATTTTATGATTTAAGATGACCAGAAAAGAGAGAAATTCATTAAAATTATTTATTTGCAAAATAAAGTGGGGAAAATTATGGAATATTGATTTTTAAGATTTAGAGACATATTGGAAAAGGTATTTCCCCAAAAATAGCTTAAATATTTTTAATAGATAATTTTAAGAGAAAAATGGTTTATTTTCTCTGAAAATTATGGAAAAATACTTAGAGATTTATGTTTAATCTAAAAATTTTAGGATGATCATTTGAGATAGTGAAGAAGATATTTGAGGCATAAAATCCTTAAAATGGATTAAGGATTAATTTCTGGAATTAAGAGTTATTTTCTTGGAAAATTCAAGAAAAATAGTTATGAGTTAATTTTTGACCCAAAATTTTTCGAGAAATTATTTTCAGGGTCACAAAAGCTAATGGATAAGGAAAATCCATATAAAACGTGGTGGAGTAATTTCTGTGTTTATTCTCTAGGTTCAGAAAAATATAGAAAGGATCAAAGTGAAGACAAGGTTTATTGTGAAGGGCAAAATGGTCAAGACAATCAGCCACATGCAAACCCACGTGTTGCTCCATCCTTATAACCATCAGAATTCATTTTCTTCCCCATTTCATTTCCGCGACGTTGAGAGAGCACGAGAGAGACAGAGACGCGACGGAGGAGGGCGAAGGCAAGAGTTGTGATGGGAGGTGTTTGAGTTACATGCAAACTGATCAGACTGTCAAGGTGAGCCTCCTGATCAATCTTCCACCGTTTTCCTTCCCGTTATCTGTATGGTTTGGCTGTAATGGACGGCAGAGAGAGACGGGGTGGTGAGAGAAAGTGAAGGAAAGGGGAAAAGGATCCGTGAAGGTATGTTTGTTAGTAAGATTGAAGTGTATAGAAGTAATTTTTCTGGTTGCATGTTGCTGTTGCTTCTATTGTGGTTTTGGCCGAATGGGGATGTTGATTTTCTTTGAGTTTTGGCTGTGGATTCTGATCTGTTTCGGCTGCTAAAAACAGAGGTCATGGTTGCTGGTTCAAGATGAAAACGGGTGGTGTTCATGGAGTGTGTTGAATGGGTTGAATGTGGGATTTCCTACTCTGTTTATGATTACCGAAAACAGGGACATATTTGCTGCTATAATGCTGTCGTGGTTTATGGTTAAAGGAAAGACTGATAATATATATTCACACACACATATATGCTAGATTTTGTGGATTTGACCAAGAGTTTGATATTGAGTACTCTTTGATGGTTGTTCTGTGTTTGGCCGAAAGGAACTCTATAGTTGTGCTCTGTGCTTGCCGAATAAAAGGGAAGAAGATGTGATTCACTTAAATATGAAGATATATATCATTTGATTCTGTTTAGTGATGATCTTTGAGGCTGAACTTTGCTGTTGTGATTAGTAAGGGCGTCAAGTTCATTAGTTTAGGAATGGCAAGTGAATAATTATATATATTTTGGTTAATGCTTGCTCCTCTACTTGGTATTGATTTTGATTACTGAATTAATTTGTTGATAGGTTGAGAAGGTTAACCGTGGATTTTGGTGGGAAAACAAGATTATATATATAATGTTTAGCTATAGGATAATATGAATTGAATCCAAAATTTTATTTTGAGATGAAATATAGTGGCCGAAGGATTAAGGGAAAAATTTATGTTTGAAATTTAGAAAGAATTAAACTTTACTTGTGCTATGAAGTTATTGGCGAAAAAGGAGAAGAGAAATCAAATAGGAAAATAGCTCCAATATAGGTACAAGATGTGCCTGTGATGACAGATAGATATTTGTTGTCAATTGGTGAAGAAAAGAAACTGCCTTGTTTCTTTAGAATATAAGTGTTAATTGAAGCTAAATGAGGATTAAAATAATATATATATTTAGTTTTTCCATGATGGCCAACCACTTGATAAAAGTGGAACCACCTGGGAAGAAAGGACATGGCAATTGTCCTTAATTATAATAGACAAAAATAATTTTTGACCAAGATGACTAGTTACTAAATAAAGTAACTATGTGGGTTGAGATAAGAAAGGAAGCCTTCCCAAGAGAATAGTTGAATAAGAAAAACAATCCAGGATGATCAACTGCTACGTAAGGGTAGAGACTAAAGAAGATTTGGGATTTAAAGAGTTATTTAATTTATGAGATACAGTTGGATCAAGTACTGATCTACCCTTACTAATATGATAGGTTTTTATATCTGCTCAAGCCCACCAAGAAGTAGAAAGAAAGGAGAACGGTAAGGTTTGATTTGGAGGGATGCGGACCAGGTAGTAGTTCTTTCTTACCTTACACTTGTGTATGATTGCTACATGTCTGTTTGTGCCATATTGCTATTCAAAAAGCATGAGAACATGTAATCCTTAATTCCTTGCATGGATTATTTAGCCGTGATCACGTGTAGCCGATAGACATGGGGCAGTGATTGCCAATTATTTGTGCATTATTTATTTAGCTTGTCTATCTGTCATTGCGCATAAATGCTTAATTGCATTAGCTTGCAAGGTTATGTTCCACTTTGGCTTGTTTTGCATGCTTTATGTAATCTGCACATTTGTTTGATGGAAATTACTACTACGGGGATTCGTTCGAATCTCACCCTCCAATTTATGATGAACAGTGAAGGCTAGTAGCTAGAAGGACAAGGAGGTTATTTAAGAAGAAGGTGGGCTGGTTGAAGATCAGAGATACCTGTTATAATTCTGTAAATTGTATAGTAAAATATATGGGCAAGTAACTATACTTGCTCTATGGAAATATTATTTTGTATCCTCTAGAAGAAGGAAGTGAGCATTGCCAGGTGCACGTATATGCTGTCAATCAAGAGCGTTGCTTTATTTTTTAATATAATATTATAAGATTGCATAGTATGAAATTATTTTAGGTGATAATAGATTAAGTTGAAAGCAGGTTTGATATTGGATCACTCATCAGTTATCTGAAGGTTTGAAATATTTGATCGACGGATTCCAATGTTGAAAGGAAAAGAAAAAAAAATTCCTTGTCTTTTTCCCAGGTCGGAAACCTGGCATTAGTGATTTCACAGACGTTAAAATGATCCTATTAGTATATAAAAGTGAGGTGTTGCACGAAATTTATAATAGATTAGCGATGGAATAAAATTACATCGCTAAATTCTATCACTAATTCTCCTTTTTTTTTGGGTAGTGATTAACATTTAATATATATCTTGTATACAATCTTTACGATAAAAATTTAAACGATTAGCACAGACCAACTTGGCACAAAGCCACAGAAAGGAAAGAAAACACTAGTTTCTTAAGGAGCCACAAAAATTCTGGCAGCTGGCAATATTTTAAAGCATGATCAAGTCTAGAAAAAGACTTCTATTGGAATTGAATTTATGTTCTATTGGAATTGAATTATGTTTTATTATTGGATTAACTTTTTGAAAATAATTTTATAAAATTTGAGATAAATATGTGAGAGAAATTTTGTAAATATGTTAGAAAAATTTTGTTTTGCCATATATAAAAGTACCTTTTTAAGTGCTTGTGAGATTGTCAAACTCCCCTGAAGAAAATTTCTGTTACTGCAAGCTTTAAACGATAATGCGGGCAAAGATGATGTGGGTGGGACCTCAACAAATTCCAGAATTCAAATTTGGATTCTCTCATAGTTCCTTTTATCTCATTTTCCTCTCAACATCACATCTCCACTATTGGACTAAAAAATAAATAATTTAGATTCAATGTTTTATAAAATTATCATTATATTGCATAAAAGGCGGGAGAGAGAGAGGGTGCACGTCTATTTTTTTTAAAGGGGGACGTGAGTACTGCTAAATGTGGCTTTAATCCAGATGATTGATAAAAATCAACATCTCATTTGGAATCTACAAAAATGGAGAGACCCAGTACTGGTTCCATTTTTAGTATGATACCTTCCCACGAAAATTATCAATACAACCATTCTATTAAATTACAAAATCAATACCAGGGTAATATCGTCATTCTATTAAATTACAAAATTCCTATTTAGTAATGTGTGACTAAAAAAGAATTTTTTTTAGAAAAAAACTTAAGTTATGTTGCTTATATTCATTTTGTCAAATTCTTCAGTCACATATAGTCATATGTGCTTTTTTTTATTTATGTGGATTTATAATTAAATAGTAATAATTAAAAATATTACAATCACTTTTCTGTCATTTTCTCTATGGTTTTTTTTTTTAACAAGGCGTACGATTGTACAGTGCAATTCATTTCTTCCGTTGAAAAAAGAAAAGAAAAACAATTCATTTCTTCAAGGCATAACCGGACAGAGGGACAAGATAGTAAATTACAAAAGTTAGGGTTCGGTGTTCAATCTAAATAGGTCTCGCTCCTATATAAACAGGATCTTATTTTAATTTCCCTTTGCCGTCTTCATTTGGCGCCGCCTCCATGGTTTCTTTTTCTTTCGTGTGATTCAGAACAGTTGGGCGAGGCTTCTTCATTTTCATTGGAGTTCTAGGCCTTATTCGTTGCCGAATACCACAAAAAGAGGGAAAGCCATTGAAAAATGATTTATCTCTGTTTTGATTTTCTCTTCTCTACGTTGTTGTTATTCTTACCAAAGGCCCGATGCCACGTCGCCGGTAGCTACGAAGAGCTGTGACTGGCAGTGCTATGATCAGACTAAGAGTGACTTCTCTGTTTCGCATTTTGAGAGGAATCCGTGGATCTCTAATCTACTGATCATTCGGAGCCGATTTGTGCGATTACATTCTTAAAAATCGTGGTTAATTCGTTTATTATTTAATTAATTTCAAGGATTTGAGATAGTGAAGTCGATGATGATAGCACTTATATGTTGCAAGTGCCGTCTGAAATTGTTGATTGATGGAAAACGCAGAATTGTTTCTGAGACTTCCTTCTCTTCAATTCTAAGTCCACATTTCCATCGAATGAACTTTGGAGAAATATTGTGAACTGAAATCACTAATTTTTTCTTTGGCAACAGATGAAATTACTAGGTTAGAACTAATGTTCTAATCCTCTTTTTATGCTTCTTTGTCAATTTTCTTAAAACTTATTTTTTTCATTATTATTAGATTGCTTAGTACAGTATTGTTCATTTTCGGTTTCTTTGTCAAGTTATGTGTTAAAACAGCCCAAGGAACCAAAATCAGACTCTGCCTCTGGTGAGCTCATTCCAATCATTATTCCTGTTCTACATCGACAAATGAGCATATGGCTCAGCACTGTTCTTAGATAAAAGGCTCTTGCATTGCTCTGTTCATATATGCCAGTTCTCCATTCATGAACAAAATGAGCGTATATATTAGCTCTGGACTGATTTTAGATAGAAAACTCTTGCATTGGTCTGTTCGTATAATGTATTCCAATCAGGTAATCATTATGCCAGTTCTCCATTAATCAACAAATCAGCACATACGGTGTGGACTGATCTTGGGTAAAAAGCGCTTACACTGCAATGTTCATATATAATGTTAAAGAGTCTCTGTTTTTACGATTTTTTTTTAATGTTTCTTGCTTTTCAATCTCTAACTTAGAGGAGGACTAAGACAAGGGTTAAGGAACATTTTTACCTTAGTTTTAAGGATGAGGAAAACTGTAGATATTGTCCAGAAAAAGTATAAATAAATTTTTTTATGAGAAAATTAGTAACTGTGAGAAGTTTTATGTTATCTTTGTGCTCTTGTAAAATATCAAGATATCATGTTGATTTGCTATGGTTATTGCGTTATCTATCATTTATCATGTCCTTAATATAAAATGTCTTTAACTAATTCACATATACCAATAAAAATAGTTAAAGTATTAAATTTATTATGAAAAACAAATAACCACTAAAAAGTCCTAGGAAATGTTCAAATAAATATAAAGTGCCTCAAGCCTGAGAATGATCTAAAACCCCTTTTAAAAGACACATTAATGATGCTGAGAATTTGAGTCTGGAGCCATGTTATTCTGCAAGTGCAACCCTTTAACCGCGGCTTGGGAATCTAACTATCTGAACATGCCAATTTTTTTGGAAAATCACTTTTTCATTGAAAATCATGTTTTGGAGGGGGGGAAAAAGTTGCCAAACACAATAAAAGGGGTTTGCAGTATAAAATCATGATTTTTCATAAAGTAATTTTTTTTTTGGCCTTTTAAGGTACAAAATCATGGTTTGACGTATGAAAAATGGGCAAATGTGTGAGATAAGTTAGATTAAAGTCTTATATTGATAATCAAATTGAATACCCAATTAGTTCTTATATTAAAGACTAGAAATGATATTAATTAATTATAATTTTTGTATACAATTTATTATTTACACATTTATTATTTCAAACAAAAATATAAATTAAAATCTATTTTTTATTTTTTAATAATTTGCAAATGAAAAAAATATCCTGATAATAATCATCTGAACATTCTCACTTTATTAAAATTATTTTTTTCACAAAATCTACTCATAACATCTATTTTTTCAAAATTTATTATTAAATCTATTTTTTAAACTATAATTTGATTTTATTTAAACACCCCTTCTAATCCTGTTATTACTGGTATTTGAAATCCATGACCTACTACCATGTCACTTGATCATCTTCAAGGGCTTGAGTTTAAATGGGTCGAACCCAAAAGCCCGCCATCCCGAAATCACTTGTTTTTATTATTGTATTTATATGAACGCTGCTTTTTTAATCACAAGGAACAAGGTTATACTAGATGAAGACTTTGGTGTATGCGACTGAAGCATCGGCACTCCTATCACTCTTCTATTAAAGAAAGTGACTATTTCAGAAAAAAGTACTTCCTTTGTTCTATAATCTTGGGGGTGGGTTAGTTTTTCTCACATACCAAAAAATAACAATTTAGTCATTAAATATGTTCTAAGATAAGTTTTTTCCCTGTTTTACTTATGAAAAATGATAAAAGACACATTTTCCGTAGACATATGTATCTTCCTATTAATGACAATCTTACAAAGTGGTAATTTTAATTACCCATATAATTGCATTTAATATTACACTTTTATCATCTCTAATCTCTCTCCTATATTTAATAGAGCAAAAGTGAAAAACTCACATTAATTATTATGATAGTATTTTATATATTGAACCACAGTTTTCTTCTAACCAATGTCTTATATCATGCATGGAGAAGACCACTCAATAGAGTAAAATTACCCCTTTGCATTTTGCAAAAGAGGAAAAAGGGGAAAAAAAGAAGAAGTGATTTTTGACAAAGATGTGATGAAGTGATTTCGTGAAGGATAAAGTCATGAAGACGTGCAAATGATATATGGCATTAAGAACCATTTGTGACTCAGTCCCAATTATCCACTGTTTACTGATTTCTAATTTAGCCGTACGAATAAAATAAACACAAGTCGCTAAACCAAAGCATATACCACATATTAATCAATCTCGAGAGAACATGTGCCTATATCCTAATGTTAGACTATAAAATTAATTACAAACATGCACATGACTTACAATTGTATAAGCTAACAAAAATAATTTTGTTGCTTATTTAATATGCACATGACTTACAAATATTATTCTAATATTTAATATTCCTTCAGTCCTAAATATAAGACCCATTTTATAGTGTAAATTACACTATAAAATGAGCATTACATTTAAGGCTCGAAGGAGTATTTAATTATAAATTTACATTACTCATAAAACTATCCCACTAAATATTCAAATAAATCAAATGCAGATCCCTGCTGCGATTTTGACCATAACAAACTGTAAATTTTGGATGTCATCCTCATCTTGAAGGCCTCACACTTATATTTTGAATCCCTCATATATTTCATAGTTGATGATTTATCAATACTCCTACATATCTATTTTATTTTATTTTTTTATGGTTTCTCTGATTTGGTGATTTAATTTAAAATTAAACGTAAAAAAAAAAAAAACATTGTTCCCTGTCATCGAATTGCTTGAATAAAGTGAGTTGCATTTTTTTGCCTTACCGGACTCATCTGGTTTTGATAATCTCTAATATAGAAATTTTAGGCTATTTATTTTTTATATTATAATCAAATATATCATGAACATAAAAAATGTAAAATTTAAATGAAGAAACTTCCTCTGTTCGTAATTTAATTCTCAGCAGATCCTAACAATGTGGGACCTCCATCTAATTTTATATAGAAAAAATTATTAGAGAAATAATTTCCATTACGTAGAAACAACCTTTCTCCCTTTCTTCTTTCTTTTCTTTTCTTTCGTTTTCTCAAAAAATATGTGCTTTTTCTTTATCCGTAAAAAACTAAGAATAAAACAATGACGGTTGATACTAAAGAAACAAACTTTCTTGATTTTGAGTTTGAATTACGAAAAGAATTCGTCAATCTAACAACAATTGAACTCCTGCCTCGAACATCATTAATTGACATTGAATTGCTGCCATATTTAACCGCCTTTGATCATTTATGCAACCTGGGTATTCTGTTATGAAGTTCCTCGTCGATAGCTTCATTTTTCGATTTTTATGGAACTCCCATTTCTCAGGTCCTCTTTCGCAATCTATTATGCTTTTATGTTTATGTAGAATCGTCTATTTGTCCTTGGGAAGCTGATCGGTTTTCTATGTTCTGGAATTTGAAGCAGAAATTAGAAGTTCGGTTGGGAAATATCTGGGTAATAAGAAAGTTGTAGAGGTTGTGGGGAGAGAGAACGATGGATTCTGCATTTTTCTTCTTACCAGTTTGCAAATTGGGTAATCTCTTTTTTTTTTCCAATAAACAAAGTGGTTTTTTTTTTTTTTTGCATGTGCGAAATTGTTCCTAATATTAATGTAAGCATGCTATTATGCAATTGTGGGAACATCATATTTTTTCGCAATGCATTATGATTTGTCTTTTTTAAATCGCTGTGTGGATGGCTTGTTTTGGGAAACACCAAAAGCACTTAAAAAGTGCTTTTTACGCAATCCAATAAAATCTCCTTTTGCTTACTTACCCCAAATACAAATCACTTTGATTTGCGCAATATTCATGTTGCATCGTACTTATAAATTTGGTTTTAGTTCAAGTTCCTTATTGTTTCCTGATTCCCAAGTCAAAAGGCATCATTATGTGATGCTATAAATGCTGCCAAGTTTTGGGCTGCATGGAACTTGCATAATCCAAAGAGGACAAGTACAAACACAGTTAAGTGGTATGTGATTTGGATTTTCAAATTGGAATTGACGAGACTTCTGGTATCTCAAAATACAACAATGGTAACATTGTACACTTTGGTCCTATTTTAGTATGTTTTATGAAATTTCTGTCAAGTATTCAACTTGTTACTCACATTGGTCCTTTTTTTTTTTTTCTTTTTTTAAATAAAGGGCAGAGGACTCTAACTACATATGATGTTCCTTTAATTAGCTGTAGTTTAATGATAATTGCATAGACTTTTAAGGATTCCATTAACAGAAGTAATAGACGTTTGATTAAGACAATAGTGGATGCATCATTATCCAGTGTGATTATATTGTTATTGTATGGTGTTATTTTCTTAATTTCTCTACGTTTGACAATATTTTAAGCATCTTTTGTGATGTATTTTTTCAGAGATTTGCAGTCTTACCTCTCAGATATTAGCCTTTTCCTTGCCAATGATAGTAAAATGGTATATATTTTGGTTGACAACCAACCTTGGTTGAGAGACTTAGGGTACCAAAGCGCACACTTATGGCAATTGATGGTTACCAAGGTGAGTTAACTGCATGATTTTATATTGATGTTATTTCGTCCTTAAAACAAAC